ACTGTGTAACATCTGGATTTTAACAGCCTAAATCTATTCAAATAGTCATCAATGGGTTCAGTGAACTTTCTCTTAACACTGGCCAATTCCTTCAGACTTATTTTCGATTGTCCCATGTAAAATTGTTCATGGAACAATCTCTCTAAAAGGGTCCAAGTATCAACAGACCCAGGAGGCAGCGTGGTAAACCAAGTGAAAGCATTTTTTGTCAAGGAACTTGGGAAATATTTGATTCTAAGATCTTCATTATTGGCTATATCCCCCGCTTCGGTTAAATATCTCGCTATGTGTTCGACTGTTGACTCGTTGGTATCCCCAGCGAACTTTGTAAATTTAGGGACTTTGTATCCCCTTGGTAAATCAGTATGCATTATACAATCTAATATAGGAGAAGCGTAATTTGGCCTCCTCATTCCCATATTGAGGCCGTTTTGGGTCATGATCCTCTCTATCATGGTGGTCAGATTATTTTCTGCCAAGATGTTATCGTTTCGAACCCTATGAACGACAGCATCGGCATCTTGGTTTCGACCAACCAAAACAACTCCCCTAGGTTGTTCTCCTCGAAATTCTGGGGCTTCTGGTCTTTCGATCCTTGCCCCTGGTTCCATAACTTCCCTTTGTGGGCCTGGAATTATTGGGGCTTCTAACCTTGGTGCTCTGGCCCCTAAGTTAACCTCTTCTCTGGGTGGTCTATGAATTGGGTCGTTGGCAATTTGTTCTATAACAGGCACGTTTGTTCGAAATCCCGCCTGGTTCTGCCTACGCCTTTCTGTGGGAGCAAAGAAATCTGCTATTCGACTCATATTGTCAGCGTTTTCCCTGTTCGTCACAGTCACATTCTGAACTATTGGGGCGAATATTTCCTGCATGGTTTGCGCTAACACCCCTATCATATTGTGGTTGCTTTCATCCATCAATTGCCTAAAAGCCAACTGGTTATCTGTGGTTAGGGTAGGCAACGTGCTATAACCCACTGACCCTTGGTTATTTGACATAAATTGGTTTGCCCCAGACCCAGATCCTAGTTGTGGAGATGAATTTGATATGGAATTGTGTAATCCTGCCATAAAAGATGTTGGCATTCCGTAAGAAGAACTTCTAATTCTATTCCCATCGAAGCCGGGTGGTCTAGTTGATGGAGATGCGAAATGGGATTGTGTCCCAGGTGGCGGAACGAATCCCCCAGGGTAGCCCATAGTTCCAGTATTTCCTAAGATCGAACTGTTGGTTGATACGCCACTTACTCCGTTGGTGGCCATGTTACTGGTTGAAGATGCAACAGCCTGTGCATTCGAAGGGATTACATTAGATGCTCCGCTCGAAATGGACGCGTTAGTGCCTGTTGCCTGTGGGCCGCCTTGGTCTCCTTGTTGATTGTCTGAATTAGACATTTTGTCCAAACGTTTTCTTCTGGATAAAGGTTGGTTGCTGTTGGTTATCTTACCACTTCTCAGGTTCATAAAACAGCAAACTTCTTATGTTTCTACGTTTCTTGGATGGCTATGTCTTGACAATTCTTAATTCTGATATCCAACTATTGGTCCCACCAGGTGTGCCAATTTGTTTCCAGTGATTTCTGGTAAACAACCGCTAGTCTTCCAAACTATCGAATAATCTTTATTAACGCTACTCAATCTCTTTGGTAACTCACAGGATCGACTAGATTGATCCTAGGACTCCTTGGATATCAAGGTTACTCTCACAATCGAACAATTATTCATGGGTGCTATTGTATAAATGTTTGGTTTGTTTCGATCCCTCTCTCTAAGAGTTTAAGAATGTGGTCAAAATATATGTGAAACTAAGTTATACGAATGATTGCTAATTGTAATGCTGATTGAAAAGACATATGAAACTGTATGGAAAATGAAGTAACTGGTTTCGATCCATAAAACATTTAACACAAAAGGTTTCTGGAATGTGGAAGTTTAAAATGTGAAGAAAGCGTTTAATGCAAGAAATCTAGAAATGACTTTAAGTGAAAGTAAATGTTTGAAGAATAATACTTGAAAGTAAAGACATTGAAAGCGTAAAAATTCTCTGAAATATGAAGTGCTTCGAAATATAAAGAATGCAATAAAATGTAAAACTTTGAAGAAAAGACTTTGAAATGAAAAGACAGTAGATAAAGAAACTTGTAAATGTTATTCGACAGAAAGAAAAAGAAGGAAAGTGCTGGAAATAGTAAAAAGGGCTTTTATTAAATTAAAAATACATGGTGCTATCATACATACATCTCTCTTGCATTCGTTTCCCTTGCCATGTGGTAGTTTGAATGTTATTGAGTATTTTGTATAACAGATATGACACACTGAAATCCTAACACTAAGACTTCTATTTATACTAATTCGACCCTAACGGTCTCGCTACAAGATCATGCCACGTTTCGAACATGCAAGACAATGCTCCTTTCATCTTTCCACGTGTCCTCAAATGCTCCAACACATAACTTTCAAACTTTGAAAGTCCCGCTTTCATTTAAATTTCAAACGCTTTGGTGTTTCTCTGCTTCGAACGCTCTTCTCAGACTTAGCTTCGCTGCTGTTTCGAGACCCCTTTGGATACGCTCCCAAGATCACTGTTCGAAGCTGCAAGCTTTGACACACTCATTCAAAACACTGCTTCTGCAATTTCGAAGCGTGGTGTTTTAATTCCATTTCGATCAGAACTCCTAGCTCTTTTGTATTCTAAATAACATTATCAAAATCTTCAGCCAACAGTACCACAGGAGAAAGTGGATGGAATATCGAATTTTGCTCCGAAGAGTCGCCTTTCACGTACATCATCGTCTAGGGATTTCAAGGAGGAACCCGAACGAATTCTGGTTTTGGAACCCAAAATGGTTAATGTTCTGGAAGTCGAGGATGAGACTAACCCGGGCTTTCCAATAGGATCGTCTGACACCTCCCTCTTGATCTATTACACCGATCATGTTGCTCGATATGTTTCAGAGGCACATATATATTATTTTTTGTTACACTTTTCATTTTAATGATTTACGCACTGATATGTTAAAATTGATATTAATTATTTATCTTTACAGAAACGACGACCACTAAAGTGCGTGAACCACGCATAGAAGATATCTGAGTTGTATCACCCTGATGAGGATTGATTCAGAGAGGCTATTTTTGCCTCCGGACTTGCCGACCTCTGTTGTTTCGGTTACAACACCATCAGCCACGGCATGCAGAGGGCATTTGTCAAGAGGTGACACAAGGAGACATTATCTTTCCACTTTCCTGTTAGGGAGTTGACGATCACACTTGATGGTGTCGCCTGCCTGCTACACCTTCCTATCAGAGAGATGTTACTTAACCACTCCTAGATTGATCGTAATGATGAGATTGAATTGATGGTCGACTATCTAGGAGCTCAACCAGAAAAGGCATTTGAGTTGTGTTCCTCCACCAATGGGTATCATGCCAAGTTCTCATTCCTTGAGTACCTATATCACCAGCACCTCTCTACGACAGCTGATTATGAATCTGAGGGAGATGACTTATTTGTTCTTTATCACTGTCAGTGTGCTCTGAGGTGTTAATTCATGTTCTTGGTTGACACGTCTATTTTTATGGACAAAAGTGCCAACTACGTAGATATAACATACCTTAGGTACTTCATGGATTTGAATACAATGAGAGAGTGGAATTGGGGGGCCGACTGTTTGGTATACCTGTACCAAAAGCTGAATGAAGCCTCTAGTTGGAGGACACGACAGCAGACAAGCTCTGCTACACTGCTGACGGTAATTTTCATTCCAACTATTAAATTTAATTTACTATTAATAACTATAATTTGTTCTTATATGAATCTTATTCATTTTCAGGGCTCGGTCATTTCTCACTTCCACCACATTGATGGTTTTGAGCTGGATATGCAATATAGTGAGCACATGCCGAGGGCTGTTATGTATGTCCTCCACAGAGGGAACCAGGTTGTGCTGCTGTTTTCAGATGTATCTGGATCAGATTATCCATGATGACATCCTATGGACGCCATTCGAGGATTACCGGAAGATTATCCAGTTCGACTCCATCTCACTGTACTCTGGGTGACTGGCATGTGAGAGCGACATTATGGTTAGGTATCTGCCGGAGCGATGCATGCGACAATTTGACTATGTGCTAACCATACCCAAATCTCCAATTCAGGCTGCTTCTGACACCATTCCCCGTCGAGATCTGAATGGCATATTTCAGGACTGAGAGTATCATTTGGTGCCAGAGGAGTGTTAGATGATGCAGACATCCAACAATTGGCACTGTGTTAAGGGATACATGACATAGTTCTACACAGTGCTACATCCTATCATGACATCGAATGCTCTTGGACGTCCATCTAGGCCAATTCATAAGGAGATCTTAGAGAACCAGCAGACCAATGATGACCATGACATTGATCTCTTGCCGACCTATCAGCAAATACAAATGATTGGGCAGGAGGCTTTGGACATATGTATCATTGACCGGGACGGTCCTGAGGCGGTGACCATTGTAGAAAGGACAGTTGGGGAGGCAGAGTGCGGTGGGATACATGAGACATAGGAAGGACCGGGACGTGAGGATCAGGCATATGCAGTAGGCTATGCCTTTTTTTTTTCCAGAAAAAATTATGAACAATTATTGTATTATTATTATTATTTTTAAACAATTTATTGTGTCTATTATCGGTTTTTATTTCTTATCATTTTTATAATCATTTTCATCTAATTATTTATCAACACATTGGTGATTTAAAAAAAATCAGTGTCCAGAGTTTCAAAGATGCATCTCCGAAAGAACCAAATCAAGGTGTTTCAGAGATACATCTCCAAAAATATCACTGCATCTTTAAATATAGCGTCCAAGTCCAAACAAATTTGTTTTGGAGATACATCTCAAAAACACTCGAATTTAAGATGCGTTCGAAAATCCATCTCCGAAGAATATTTTTGAATTTTCGGGGTTTTTTCACTTAAAAGGTGTAAAAATAAAACATAAACATTTATCATCATCATGTATCAAATTCCTTTCTCTGCATTTCAAAACCAAAACCCATTATCAATGTCATTCATCACCCACTCATCACCATCTTCTTCCCCTTTCACCATTGCCACCTCTATGGGATTCACTCCCACCCCTTCAAATCTCACTTTCAAAACCACAACTACTTTCCCTTTCTCTTTCTCCTCCACCAGAAACCGCTCCCGTTTTGCCTTAGTTGTCAGAGCCAAAACTGAAACTGATTACTACTCAACATTAAATGTTAGTAACAACGCTTCGTTGCAAGAAATCAAAAGCTCCTACCGGAAACTTGCTCGCAAGGTTTGATTTTTTTTTTTACTTTTTAAAATGGGTTTTGCATTCTGTTCTATGCTTTGATGGGTGTGTTTGGTTTTGGGGAAATTGAGTAAAAGTTGGGGAATTGGGAAATGGGTTGCTGAGTTTCGGATAAATTTATGCTGAAAATTGTCTCTTTTTTTAGTTTTCAGATGATTTCTAGTTTGTTGATGGGTTTGCTTTGTAGAATTGAGGATTAAATTCCTAATTTTAAATAAAGCTTTAAGGCCACGATGTGAGTTGTGAGTTGCAACATATCCGTATTTGATTTCGCGGGTCACATTGCCTGCAATTCTCCGCAATATCAAGAAATCGTTACCTCGACTGCTATTTGAAAATCTGGACAGTACTTAGTTTAGTAGAAAACAAGAAATTACAGTGAAAATAACTTTCTGTATAAATTAATAGGCATAGTTGGTGTTGTAAATATGAAAATGTTATGTTGGATCAGTGGTCTCTCATGAGAATATAAGATTGAGAATAATAAGGGAGGGTATCTTCTGTTGGTAGAATTTCTTCTAAGGTGGTTTTGGTATGTGCTTGAAACCTAATAAGTATCCTTAATGTAGATCATATGGAGGATTCTTCTTTAGCTGTCAAACCATTAAGAAAGGTTTTAAATGTTCTATCTTTACATATGATTTGATCTGTATAGGCAATGGTTCTAAATTGCGGTTGTGGCCACGGTTATGCTAGGATCAATGCTATTGTGGCCAAATATGGTGGCAGCTGTGGTCGTGATGTTGTTGTATAGATCTCTAAAACCTTTATATTGTGGACGACAATTTAGAACTACGGCAACCTAACTTAAATTTTATTACACAGACACATAGGATTAAATTGCATTTGTTCATATACTATATACTATACAAGCTTTTGGAAATAGTTGGTTCATAATAATGTTTCTATTTTTTGGGATCAGTACCATCCGGATATGAACAAAAGCCCTGGAGCAGAAGAGAAGTTCAAGGAGATTGGTGCTGCATACGAGGTAATTCTTCTACCACTACAATGCTATATTCTCTATTGTCAACTATCAATGAAGCTCCGAAATTGAAGACGTATCCGTATTTGTTCTGGACTGGGCCCGACAGGTCCAAAAGCATTACTAAGGCACAGTCCAAAGGGACTCACTAAGGACCACACTGGGCAAAGGGGGTCACGTCCATGCTCGACACCCTGATGTCCACCTCGACACTCCGATGTCCAACCCACGCGGTGAAGTCGTGCTCGACACCCTGCCGTCAGCTCCATGTCCTGGCGTCTAGCTCGACTTCCGCCGTCCAGCTCGAGGTCCTGGCGTCGAGATCAGCACCGTGCTGCCCAGCTCGACATGGGCCCGAGCTACCCGACTAGGGCAGACTCAGTCCACCGTTCCCCCAACGATACTCCGGAAAGACCGCGTCTCTGTCCGCCCGCACTTCACGCAGCACATCCAGGAAGGGGACCACGTGCGGGTCCCCACTACCCACGTAGAACCTGGCAGTTCCTCCATTGGGCCAAATCCGTCCAGCCCAACGAAGGAACCTTGGCCCAGCGCTGGGGGCTATAAATACCCTCTGTTTCCAGAGGGTCAGGTATTCATCATTCTAACCTCAACTCTATTATCTGCTCGTACTCCCACTGACTTTAGCATCGGAGTGCCTTGCAGGTACCCCCCTCCTCGTTCAAAAAGCCTTCTGCTCGGAGCCAGCCGTGACGGTCCAAACCTTCTGATAAGGTCAGATCAGTGGCGCCGTCTGTGGGAAACAACTTCCCCGTCTAACGAACAATTCCAAAGATCAAAGCTCAATTCAATTACCTGTCATGGCTGATCCAGCTCGTGAAGAACAGCACACCCGCGTCACCGACACCAACAACGGTCCCGCGGACAAGAATGGACACCTCGACAATCTCGGTGATCCCGGCCGCAATGCCACCCCTGCGACAACCGCCCCTGGACCTTCCACCCGCAGGGACGGGAACACTGCGTCTTCCTCGACGATCCCTCCAGCACTCGAAGACGACCCGGAAGCTCTCGCCTATCGCCGAGCTGCCCGGTTCTATGAAGTCCAAGTCCCTGCCGGGGCAGATGCCACGACTCAGGCACTGTTCGCGGCCATCAACCAGACAAATTATCTCCTATTCGCCCAAGGAGAAAGACTAAGGGCACTGGAAAATGATCGACGACCCCCGATGAGGCATCAGAGGCCATCATCTCCACCTCCTCGGGTCGAAGAAGTTCGACACCCTACTCCCCCGCGGAGACATTACAGGGAGAACTCTAGGAGCCCCTCTCCCCCACCAAGGCAGAGGCGGCCCCAATATGAAAGACAGCCCGTCATCCCTACCGAAGAACCCAGTCGCGACCCATCAAGGCACGACAGGAGGCACAACAGAGACGGGCGTGTGACCTTCAACCACCGAGCATCACGCTCGAGGGAATCTCAGCACGACCATCGTGCCCGGCATAACTACAGGACCCCTTCTCTCTCTCCAGAAAGGAGCGACGAGGACGACCCCCGCGGTCCCCTGTCGCAGGCCATCATGGACGCACCTATTCCCCCGGGCATGGAGAAGCCCCCACACCTGAAGGAGTATGATGGAGTGGCGGACCCAGTCGACCACATTGACGGGTTCGAAGCCATGCTCCACTATCACAATGTCGGGGGGCCCATCAAGTGCCGTCTCTTCCCAACAACTCTCAGGAAGGCGGCCATGGACTGGTACAAAGGACTCGCCCCGGGCTCCATCACCTCGTGGCGGAACCTGAAGAACCAGTTCATCAGTTCCTTCACAGCTTCCCGTCGCCACCCGAAGACTGAGGCAGCCCTCGAGGCCATCATTCAAAGACAGGATGAGACTCTGAGGGAATTCATTAACCGCTTCAACCGGGAAGCAATCCAGGTCCCCTGCGCGGACCATATGAAAAGGTACTTGCTGGAGAGGGGCCTCCTCCCCGGCACTGAATTCAGAAAAGCTGTGGGTATTGAGCCACCTGCAACTTTTGATGCTCTCCTCGACAAAGCCCGAGCATACATGGACTACGAGGAGAGAGAAGCTGCCAACAGGGCACGAGACTCCAGGGCTCGCAATCATGGCAGCAGCTCGAGACAAGATCCTCCTCCCCGACGGACCGGAGAGAAGAGGAAGGAAGATCGACCCCGGGAAGTCCGGGAACAAAGGGGCCCCTCGGGCCGGTTCACTGAGTACACTCCGCTCACGGCTTCCCGCGAGCGTATTTTGGCGGAGTGTGCTAGCACAGATTTTAAAGACGGTGGCGTCAAGCGTCCCCGGCCAGCTCCTGCCAAGCCAGGAGTAGACAAAAATAAATACTGTCAGTACCATAGGAGTCATGGTCACTTGACAGAGGACTGCGTCCACCTGAAGGACGCCATTGAAACCCTCATCAAAGGAGGGAGGCTTGCACAGTACAGGCGAAACGACGCTCCCCGTCGTGACGCCCACGAAGCAAAAGAGCCCGAAGAAGATGCCCGACCATCTGACGAGTCGGTGCCAATCCAGACCGCCTTCTCGGTAACCAGGCCCGAGGATTTCGAACTTCCCGAGCTCCTGCAGGAGCCCCTGACGACACACAGCAGGTGGGAATACTTCCCCTCCGCCATGGTCATCAACGGGGGCGGGTTCAACGACCTCACCATCAACTCAGCTAAGAGGAAGTTGGACGAACTGGTCGACGCAGCTCCTCCACAAACTGTGACTTTCGAAATGGTGAAGGGCAGATCAGAGCCCATCACCTTCTACTTGGAAGAGCTCCCCGGCGGAGCACCGAACGCAGTCATCCCCTTGCTGATAAGGGCAAAGATGGCCAATTTTGACGTGCATCGCATCCTGGTCGACGAAGGGAGTTCCGTCGACGTGATGTACACCCAGCTGTTCCGGACCTTACAACTGGACGACTCACATCTGTCTCCGTATATAGGTTCGGACCTTCAAGGCTTCAACGGCTCGACTTCCAAACCTTGGGGATATGTCGAGCTCCTCGTGACGTTCGGGGAAGGAACTGCTACAAGACAGGTGAAGGTCCGCTTCCTCGTCATTGACTGACCGTCCCTATACAATTGCATCTTGGGGAGGCCGACATTGGCGGAGCTGACAGCGGTTCCCTCAACTGTCCATCTAAAAATGAAGTTCTATACCAAAAGGGCAAGGGTAGCCACCATCCAGGGCGACCTCGCTGCTGCCCGCAGGTGCTTCAACGCCGCTTCAAGGGGACGGGATACCGTCGACGTGGGTACCAGCACCAGACCCATCAAGAAGACAAAGCAAGAGCCCGACAGAGCATCCCCCGAGGTAGAAGTTCAGAAGGCTCCACCAAAGGTCGACTCCATAGCCCTCGACGCCCGCTTCGACCAAGACGAGCCATCCAGCGGCGAGGAAATCCCCCTCCGACCCATTCCGGACGGCGATTTCGAACTCGTTCCCCTCGGAGCAGACCCGACCAAGGGAGTGAAGATTGGCAAGGACCTCCCCGACTTGGCCAGGAAGCAAATCAAGGCCTGTCTGCGCGAGAATGCTGATCTCTTCGCCTGGAGCGCTGCAGAGATGCCCGGACTCGACCCTGAGGTCGCCTGTCATCACCTCGCCATTGATCCAGCCGCCAAGGCCGTAGTACAACGTAGGCGTAGGCAGTCTCCAGAAAAAACAGAGGCTGCTGAAAAAGCTGTAAAAGACCTCCTAGAGGCAAATTTTATTTCTGAAGCCCGGTACTCCACCTGGCTGTCAAATGTTGTACTTGTTAAAAAGAATAATGGAAAATGGAGAATGTGTGTTGACTATACCGACCTCAACCGGGCTTGCCCGAAGGATGCATTTCCTCTACCTAACATTGACATGCTGGTCGACAATTCGGCCGGCTACAAGACTTTGTCGTTCATGGACGCCTACTCGGGATACAATCAAATCCCAATGGCCCTGGGCGACAAACGCTGCACGGCGTTCATGACCAGCTCGGGCAACTATTACTACAATGTAATGCCCTTCGGACTAAAGAACGCCGGCGCGACGTACCAACGCATGATGAACAAAGTGTTCAACAAATAGATCGGCGACATGCTCGAGGTATATATGGACGACATGATCGTCAAATCTCGAGCAGATACCGATCACGCAGCTCACCTCAAAACAGTCTTCGCCCAAGCAAGACAGTGCAAAATGAGGTTCAACCCCGAGAAGTGCACATTTGGGGTTAAGGCAGGAAAATTCCTCGGATTCTATCTAACAGAACGAGGGATTGAAGCCAACCTCGACAAGTGTCGAGCATTCGCCGACCTCCCGACTCCAACGTCGAAGAAGTCGATACAGATCATGAACGGCATGTTGACGTCACTATCACGCTTCGTCGCGAAGTCCGCTCAGCACGCCCTTCCCTTTTTCAAACTCCTTCGAAAGGAAGCAGCCTTCGAATGGACCGAGGAGTGCGAGCACGCACTTCGCCATCTGAAGCAGAGCCTGTCTCAACCGCCCGTGTTGTCTCGACCAGATGACGACGAGCCACTATACCTATACTTGGCAGTTTCAAACGAAGCCATCAGTGCCGCTCTTGTCCGCGAGACTCCTGACGGGCAGAAACCTGTCTACTTCACGAGCAAAGCCTTACAAGGCCCCGAGAGCAGGTATCAACAGATAGAAAAGGTTGCTCTGGCACTCGTCAACGCTGCGAGGAGGCTCAGACACTACTTTCTAGCGCACACCATCATCGTGCGAACCGATCAACCGGTGAGGCAACTCCTGGGTCGGCCAGATATGGCGGGCAGAATGCTGAAGTGGTCCCTGGAACTCTCTGAATTCGACATTCAGTACGAGAGCCGGAAAGCCCTGAAAGCACAAGCCTTGGCCGACTTCGTCGCCGAGATGACCAGTAACGACATCCCCCCGGGAAAGGAACACAAATGGACCATCTTCGTCGACGGAGCCTCCAGCTCATCCGGAAGCGGCGCAGGGATCCTCCTGGAAAACGAAGAAGGGGTGGTAATCGAGCACTCCTTGGTTCTCTCCTTCCCGACGTCAAATAACCAGGCAGAATACGAAGCCCTGCTCGCAGGACTGAGACTAGCC